GAGTAATAAACTGGGACAGAAAGGGCAGGCACAGTTGGCATGAGTATAGTCATCGGGTATTTTATCGGTAAAGTGCGGGAAAAGTCGGGAAAATTTCACGAAACTTGCAACGTTCACTTCTTGCAGGGCAGGATTAAAGGTGACGATGAGAAGCGGTTGGACCAGACGCCCTAGCGCCACGCCATTGCAATGAAGACGCTAAAATGAGAAGAAAGAAAAGGGAGGAGAGAAAAAATGAAGAGTAACGATAAGGAACAACCTTACCCGGCAGCACGAATGGCAAGCCGGCCGAAAACATTGTCATACCACTGCAAGCTTTAACCGAACCTATTAACGATGTTTGATTCTATTGGTGGATATATCATCAACTTGAATCTCGCCTTCAATTTCATTGCATAGGCAATAAAATACCTGAGAGCGCGAAAAGTTACCTATTCGAAAAACACAAAACCTCTCCCCATTAGCAGCAGAGCACAGGGGAGAATTTCATGAGCCGTCCACAGCGCATGGCGCACGACCCGCCTTTTATTATTACACTTCATCTAGCGTTGAGAGTTCACTAGGTAATTACTTCACACGACCAGTGTGTAATTTTAAAAATCGAAAATTAAAAAAAAAAAATGTACACGATATACGAGTTTCTCTGCCAGGGAGCTCTCCCCACAAGAAATCTTTCACCACCCGCCCGTTGGGGGCGGGCGCCGCACCGCGGCGTGCTACCAGTGCGAAACGCGCACTGACGCCTACAAACCTGAAGGGCTACTTCACGAATTGTGCAATGCTTGAAGTATCCCTTTAGGTTTGTAGGCGTCGGTGCGCGTTTTGAGCTGGAAGCGGCTGCAGCACGCACTGTGCAATGCTTGCAGTATCCCTTTAGGTTTGTAGGCGTCAGTGCACGTTTCGAACTGGAAGCGGCTGCAGCACGCATTGCGCAATGCTTGAAGTATCCCTTTAGGTTTGTAGGCGTCAGTGCCGTTTCACTGGAAGCGGCTGCAGCACGCATTGCGCATGCTTGAAGTAACCTTTAGGTTTGTGGCACGCCGAGCGGCAGCAGCACGCCGCGCCGCAGCGTGCCATAAACTTGCCCACAATTAATAGGTCAGGGTGTTAAAATGTAGGCAATTTGACATCAAATTCGAAATTAGCGACTCAAAAAACATCAGTTACGAAACTTTCGTGATCTTTCAGTCATTATCCGACTTATTTCTTCCTATTCTTGAGTTTTGGACCATAGTGCCCGCGCCGCGGGTTGCAGCGGCTCATGAAATTCTCCCCTGTGCTCAACCGCTCCATTAGTTTCGATTGAACCGATATAGTCCAGTCAATTTAGCTCTAAATAAGGGTCATCTGGGAAAATCCATATATAGAAGGTTTTTTTGCGGAAACATGTTGCATTAGGCAACCAGAACAACATATCAAAAGTTTACCAAAATCGGCCGTCCGCTAAGGCCGCCATCTTGAAAAAAGGGGGGGCGGGGGGCCAAAATACGCCGCCGGCGACCGGTTTTTAGCTTTTATCTTGAAAAATATCGATGCTACGGAAAAATGTCACTGAACCTTTTAAAAAGATCATAAAATTTCCTATTAGAAACACTATACATTTATCAAGTTGCGACTTCTGGTTCGTGAGATATGGCGGTAGTTTCCTGCGGCTAGGAAAGTCAAATCTTGCGAGAAATCACGTTTTTTCAACAAAATCTGTAATTATCTTAAAAACGGCGAGTCTGAGGCAAAAAAGTGTTCTCACCGGAATGAAAGAGCATGAAATTTCCATGCTAAAAATGCTTATGAATTCACTAGGGGGTCCGCCCCCGGAGCGCTATGCGGTCCGAACCAACGGCGGCTACTACGCGGTGAGGCTCGGCTTGGCCGCGCCATGCATTGTTGCGGTCCAAGATGAAACGGCTTCACTTTTTTGGTAGATTTACCGCGAGGGTAAGTCATATTATCCATTTAAATATGTGCTAATTTCCTTTCATCATGACCCCCCCCCCCTCCCCCTTTAGGTCATGCATGTTGTATAGTTAATAAATGTCAACGGTCGCGCTTGAAGATAATGTTATTATTTTATGCTTTCTTATTCAAATTAAATTTGTCAAACAACAAATCTTCTTTTTTCAAAGTAACTAAAAGAAAATGAATTAATACAAAATATAGAAAGAGGGAGTTTAAATTCATCCTCTGCTTCCTCTTCGATGAGTGTTTCTGCTTGATTGCTGCATCCCAAGCCGGAACAATGTAGACAAATGTCACTGCATGGTAGACCAGCTCTCTTACAAGAGCAGCGGTTACTACAGCCTTTCGAACATGTACATGAGATGATTTGTAAAAGTTCTTGGGGGGCAGGCGGGTTGAGCATAGGCACAGGGAGAAGCCCGAGTTCCGAAGATTTCCACCCCCATTCCTTGGGATTCCGTTTTCTTCCTCTCCAGAGTTGAACTTGATAATATACACGTAAGAAGTGTTGTTTGCACGCATCTGAAGTTGGAGGCAACGTTTGCAGTTTCACCTCAGTTTATGCCTTGCCAAAGCACGATTAAAACATTGAAATCTGCATTTGTTCAAAGCAGTAACTGATTTTTTAGCACCGTACAGCAAAAGGACGAGTTGCTCACCCGCTTGACAAAGCTCATCTTGAGTGCAGTCGGTTTCATCAAATTTCTCAGCAATACGAGAGACTTCGTCACATTTTTCTAGCAGTTTAATAAATTTGTCTTTGCCCTTGCCACGAAATGCTGAAGTGGTATCACATCCACTGATGGCATGGATAAACAGAATGCTGTTCTTCAAATTTGCATTCGATGTTCGCAATTGATTTGAGCTAAAAATTTGGGCTGCATTTTAGCCCTTACCTGGTTTGAGTAATAGGACGTCGCTTGATGCAGGCGTCAAAGCTATCATTGGAACAAGAAGATTGATGTCTTCACCAACGATAACAACTTGTTTCTTCGTTCCTCTTGGCAGACTGATAGCTTCATTTACGATGAGAGTATCCCCATCGTCCTCTGCTTGAGATACTTTAACTTGACTCCCTGTAGTAAAGTGTTTTGATAGCAAGCAAATCAAACGCGCCTCATTCTTTTCATTAGACAGAGGCAAGTCCTGGGCCACGGATAGAGGTGTGTCCTCAGAAAAAATTAAGGCAGGACATTTCTTAAGGCTATGACGTCGTCACCTTTCAACGCTTTTTGTGAAATATGTTGCGCTTTTTGTTCGCATCCATCAAAAACAATTGAACCTTCAAGACCGTCATGCTTTACAACATATGGTAGCTAATAAACGATTCCACAGCTTAAGGTAATAAACGGAGAAATGCTTGTCTCCCTCTTTCTATATTTTGTATTTCCAAAACATGGAACCAATTGATGCGATACATCGCATGCCGTTCTGACACAAAATATGGCGTCCATGCGTCCATCGAATCACCTTAAGGTAATAAACGAAGAAATGCTTGTCTCCCTCTTTCTATATTTTGTATTAATTCATTTCCTTTTAGTTACTTTGAAAAAAGAAGATTTGTTGTTTGACAAATTGTATTTGAATAAGAAAGCATAAAATAATAACATTATCTTCAAGCGCGACCGTTGACGGTTAGGTATTAACTATACATACAACTAGAATGACCTAAAGGAGGAGGAGGGGGGGTTTATGATGAAAGGAAAGGAGTACATATTTAAATGGATAATGTAACTTACCTTCGTGGTAAATCTACCAAAAAGGTGAAGCTGTTTCATCTTGGACCTTAACATGGCCGCATCATGGAGCGGCCAAGTCGAGCCTCACCGCGTAGTAGCCGCCGGTGGTTCGGACCGCATAGCGCTCCGGGGGCGGACCCCCTAGTGAATTCATAAGCATTTTTATCATGGAAATTTTATGCTCTTTCACTCTGGTGAGAACACTTTTTTGCCTCAGACTCGCCGTTTTTAAGATAATTACAGATTTTGTTGAAAAAACGTGATTTTTCGCAAGATTTGATTTTCCTAGCCGCAGGAAACTACCGTCATATCTCACGAACCAGAAGTCGCAATTTAATAAATGTATAAGGTTTCTAATAGGAAATTTTATGATCTTTTTTAAAGGTTCTTTGGCATTTGTCCGTAGGATTGATATTTTTCAAGATATAAGCTAAAAACCGGACGCCGGCGGCGTATTTTGGCCCCCCGCCCCTCCTTTTTTCAAGATGGCGACCTTAGCGGACAGCCGATTTTGGTAAACTTTTGATATGTTGTTCTGGTAGCCTAATGCAACATGTTTCCGCAAAAAAACCTTCTATATATAGATTTTCTTAGAAAAATGCTAGATTAACTGAACTACTCTAAACCTCTATAGCTAGTCAAATTCTCCATGCACAGGAAAGAAACAATTTAATTAGCGGATTTCCATTTTGTTTGGGGACTCAAAGACAGGAAATCATGCAACCCTGCTAATTTATTTTCTCCTTGTTAGTGCATGGAGAGTTTAACTAGCAGTGTAGAGGTGGACTCTGTAGCAAAGCATGGGATATCCTCTCCATTATGGCCTGAACTTTGAGAGTTTTTCTTGAGCTTGGGAGTTGATTTCAGAGAAAACCAGTGGCACCATCAAATTTCTAGACAAATTTTAGGCATGAAAAACTATGTACTTAAATCGTACATCTGTGATGCATGCAAGAGCTCAATTCTTGAACTCAAAACAATTTGAATTCGAGCTACCACTGTCTCTGGTGGGTGGAGGCTGTGTACTATTCGGCGAGGCAAGATTTTTCATATTTCATACAAAGCACAAAAATATGAGTCATCACCTCTCTGAGGTAGTTGTCATTTCAAATAGCATATATAACAGCACAAGTGAGATGGCATAAAGATTCATCATAGGAGATTCAGTATCACAAGTGACGGTCTACAAAGCAGGAAAAAGTAATATTTTTTTTTTTTTTTTTTTTTTTTAATTTCCAGCATTGTCTTAAACTTTATGGATTTTTTGCAATTTTAAGTCTTGTAATATTTTGAATTTTGGTGTCCTCTTTAGACTCTATAACTTGTGCTGAGTCTGAAAAAGTTGAACTCTGTGAAAAATCAGTTGACAAAGAAGATGAGGACGAAGATGATGATCATGTAGAATTCACATCCACTGAGGAATCAAATAGAGCGCTCATACAACCACGTTGGCCCACGAGAGTTTTTGCTGCTAAATCTGTACGGAGAATGTTACACTCATGTGAACTTGCCAGCCCTGCTCATTTTGAACTTAGTTTAGCTAAGGAAATTCAGTTGACAAAAAGTAGAGGTAAAAGATAATTTCATATTTTTCTCTTGAATTGAATGAAATTCATTTATTTTTAGTGTGTTTAAAAGAAACATTAGCCATAGTTATGGAAATGAAAACTTCTGGTGAATGGATGTGATAAGTGACATTTTTAATAAAGATAAAATTGGGCTGTCAGTGAAACAGAACAAAACTTGTTTCTAAGTAAACTCCACTGAAAAATAACCTCAAAACTCAAATTTTCATGACTTTAATGAGAGTTCCTTAGGTCAATTTAAATTTGCATGCATTTGTTTCGAGATTGTTGATTTCTGACTCGTATTATTTTTCCCTACACAGTGTGCCTTCTTCTGCTTTGTGGTAAATTGTTGTTTTTAGCTAGTCTTATTTCTATGATTATTACCCCTCCTCATTTTGTAATATGGCTGTTATTTCCTCCTATGATGTAAAATTGATGTTCTGCCCATTGTAGAGGGCTGTGCGAATATGTTTATTTTTAATGTCAAATCGAATATTTTGAAAAAGTTTTGAATTTGAACCGAATCAAATATTTTTAGTTTTTATCTATTTTGGATCAAAACCAACCTCTGTTGGTCAAAATAAGAATCAAATGAATAATTTTTTTCTTTCTAACATTCAAATTTTGAATAAAGAAATTACTATTATATGTAAAAAGATCAAGAATTAATCAATTCATTTAATTATTATCAAATGGTTTTGCACACATTTTGAGTTGCTGTGGAAACAGGAGGAGGGAGAGAAAATTGTTTCCTTTAATTAGGGTCAAGCAATTAATTGAACTGTTGCGGAGCTGTAAAACTGCTGCTTACTGTCCGAAAATTCATTTTATTCAGTTTTACTTCACGTCAATGCTGATCTCGCCAAGATAGTCTGGCAACATTGTGAAGACCGTGGTGCCACGCGGCACTGTGGGCCTGAGAGGCTCGTTTCACGCGGAAAATACCGTTTTTAAGTGTGTTCAGTTTTGCATAGATGATAAGGAACTCGCTAAAGAGCCTCTCTGAGGGATGAGGATTCATCATCATTTCATCGAATCATCGCCCAACAGCGATGTATTGGAGGGGGGGAACATGGGTACCTCTCACACTGCACGGATAATACATAGAAGTGCGTCCTTAACTGCGACCGTGTAAGACCTTATCACGGCTCAGCGGTTGCACAGGATGAAAATTTGTTCACTAGGACGTCTTCTTCTAAAAAAGAGCTTTCATTTGATGTATACACTTTTTCCATTGTGCACTTTTCATGGCCCAAAAATCTTGTTAGAAAATGTGCCTAATAAATCTTAAAAATTCCATCGACAAAGCTTTCTGCAGTTTTTTCTATAAGTTTCTATAGAGTTTTAAGGTCAGATTCTTTTTCTTTGGGTCCTCAACATTCATTTGCACCACAGCTTTGCTGCGGGAAACCCATTTTTTGAATTTTTTTTAAAAAACAGTCGACTTACCAAAAATATGATTAAATTCATATTTCACATTTATGACCTTAGATATAGTACAGTAAAGAAATTCTTCTGAGTGAATAGTAACATTATTTTCAAATTGAGTTGCTGTGCTTCTGAAGGTGCGCACTTTTTTCCATGGTTGCCATATTTTTTCGTATTTAATAAGTGCAAAAAAGGTTCTCAGATGAGACGACATTATAAACCTGTCTTTCATCTTTTTCCTCTTTTCTTTAAGTAAAATTATTAATACTACCATACAGGTATTATATGTGACGCAGCAGGACAGAATGCACCTTTAAGTGAAGACGGATATTGTTTAGTACACCCGAAAACAGTTTGAGGGTAAAAAAAAAAACCCCAGAAAACCCACACTATTTTAGTTTTCACTGATGATAATTCCTAATGAAATATGACATTGGGTCAATCTTTCAAGCCATAACTTGCATTACTATAATGTAAGCGTTTAAGGTGGATTGTTCCTCATGATTGGCAACAGTGCAGACAAACTTTAACTGCTATTTGCTTGGAAATTTTGTCTTTCTCCCTCAGATTTTGAAATGCTGCCAAATGATCAAATTTAGGAATGTTTCAGTTATGTCTTTGTGCCAACTAATGCAGAATTAACCCTTCCAACCTATGGTACAATGGGCCCGTTGCATGCAAGAGATACAGCCGCGCGAATAGACTTTAAAGAGGTTAAATGACACGAAAATTACGATGGTCACATTAAAAAAGTCTGAAATACACTCCTTACTGCGCAATTTGCGTTGTTAGGAACGCGCTTTTTCAAATTTCCCGCGTCTGGGGGCAGTTTTCTAATCACCGGAAACGAGCAAACGGCGGGCTCGGTGATTTCCGGAAGATGCCTAGTCGTTGTTGTTGTTGTTGTGGTTGTTATTTTTCCTTCAGTTTGTTCACAAACCCAACGTGATCTCTTAAGCGTCCAGCCCACCTACAAACTAGGGGCCTCAAAGAGGCTCATCGATGGAACTGTTGACTGTTGCCTTTCAAAGATCGTCGGGCCGACGATCTTTGAGGGTAACCGATGTGTTCGGGATACATCACAGATCAGATCTTGAAATTTTCAAGGCATTCCGTGCAGAAATGGCTGAGAAATAGAAGAATTAGTGCCAGTTTGAGAGCCCCAGTTTGTACGTGGGCTGGACGCTATATAGTGGTCCATATACGCTTTATGCGGTAACCAAATCGATCAACTTTTAAATATCCAACGCAATCCTTCTACATTTCATTTCACGATATCACGAGCTCCGATTTTTAGGTTATGTTGTCAGTTTTAGTTGACCGGAAATAGCCGCGAGTTGCCGTTAATTGTTTCCGTAAGAAAACTGCCCCCCGACGCGGGAAATTTGAAAAAGCGCGCTCCTAACAACGCAAATTGCGCAGTAAGGAGTGTATTTCAGACTTTTTTAATGTGACCATCGTAATTTTTTTGTCATTTAACCCCTAAAAAGTTTATTCGCACGGCTGTATCTCTTGCATGCAACAGGCCCATTTGGCTTAAGGTAAATTTTGTCCTGCTGCTTTGCTTATGACGTTTGGTCTCCTGAATTAATTGTGTCCTTTCACATACTAGATGATCATAGATTGACGACTTCAGTAGCACTAGAAGCTGCTAAATGCTAATGTTAAGTAGCTCAATCGACGGCATGTCATTGAATATTTGAACACAGTTCTGATTTGATATAAAGCCGCTTTTTTTTTCTGAATTTTGAGTTCAGCCAATATTGGTAAACATTTGGGCGGAATTGATTAAAGTCCAAGAATGTTGCACCAAATGCAAGAGTGGTAAAAAAAATCAGCTGACCATCAATATCCAGTAAACGTTGTAAGTAAATGTTGTCCATTCTCATGCCTGGCGCCTCTCAAGAAAATTCATAGGATGCTTCTTTGATCATCTGACATGATACTTGATTGCTTACAACGGCAAAACTTAGAACCGTTAAACCATGCAGGGCATTAATTTGCAAAGTTATTCTTCTTATTGAAGTGTGGTAACCCTCAAGAACCATTAATACAAGGAGGCAGTGACAAAAAAAAATTAACATATAAAGCGTTTCTATGTGAACATTCTCTCTTTTATTTTTCTAATTTTAACAATCTTAGGTCGTTTTCCAGACTCTTCTTGGTCACTTTCAAGTTTTTCAATTTTTTTTTGGAAGTTTTTCCAGCGTTAAAATGGTTTCTAATCCCAGTACTATTGCTCAAAAAAGGAGTCATCACAGGACTAGCTCAAATCCTATAAATCAATATACTTTTCTTGTTATTTTTGAACAAATCGGACATTAGATTCGAGTTTAGCGACCCAAAAAACCCCTTTACACCAAAACTCAGTGATTTTCGTTCGGAGTTAGCCGATTATTATTCTCGCACAACCGGTCACTCTGGCCCACAGTGCGCGGGGCGGAGGAGGATAGATACGAGGTTAGTACATTCATGCCATGTTGATGACATACTAGGTGGAACTCAAGTGGCGCGAATTTTGAATTGACCCTTCCAGGGCTGTGCTTTGAATGAACCAATGGAACGTTGGCCTTTGTTTACCTAACCTCAAAACAAGTAGTTTGAGTTGCGCGCCAGATCGAGTTCCTACTAGAACGTCATCAATATGGCCGGATGTACGAATATTCAGTCTCTTTTGAGAGATATTCGAAGTGTCATCAATGGTGTTGAATAATCTGATTATTTGAGGTCTCTAAGTTCGAGTTCGAATGGCATATTGGAAAAATTATTCGAACTTGAATATTCGAGATTTTCGAATATTTGCACAGCCCTAGCCCATTGTTATTGTGTAAATTGTTTATATTTGCTAATGAGAGTATTACCATCAAAATTTCAATAAATTTGATTATTTTTAGGTGACTTTTTGGTCCTTCATTTATCAGATTTAGTGAGGCTTTCATTCATGGCGGCAACTAGTGACTGTGATCCTTTGAGACTGGAAGGTTTAAGGCTCCTGTACGATGTTATAACAAAATTTGCCAAAGTTCCAGAACCAGAATTTCCCGGACATCTTCTGCTGGAACAATTTCAAGCGCAGGTAACCTGGTAATCAATAATTAGAGCTGCTCTTTATCGTAAATAATGCAGCAATTGAAAACAGAATCAGCAAGAAAAATCTACCAGTGCCTGTTAACAAAATGTTGTAAAATGTACAGTATCTTAAGCTGTACGAGGTCCTTATGATTTGAACAAATCGATGGTCAAAGTGTGGAATCATACATTTTCATTGGGGTGTTTCAAAATATCTGCTCTTATTTTATTTTTTCTAAAAGACCAAGCTAACTTCATACCTTGAAATGTATACAGAATATTCTGTTGACAAAGACGAAAAATCAGTGAAGTTTTCAAGATATTAGGTTGACTAGTTTTCCGAAGATAATAAAGCATTATGGCAAGAAGTCTATACAGGGTGATCCAAAAGTCCCTTCCACCCCCTCTAACTTTTTACCTAATTGCGATAAAGATTTGAAACTTGGGGGATATTCCTAGGTCAAAGGGAGTTACTTTTTGGCCTCCCTAAAATTTTCAGGGGGGCCCCCCTTTTGGGGGCAACGGCCCCAACTTTTAAATTTCAAATGGGAAGACCCCCTTTGTGATAGCTTGTTCAAAAGAGCATAAAAAAAGAAAACTTTTCGCGCAAACCCGAAGTCAATATCTCAAACCGTTTCAAAATGGCGGCCGGTTAAAGTTCAAAATGGCCGAAAATTCACACCGGTTATTTGTCGATGGATTTGCGCGAAAATCGGTATGTAGAGGTATTTTCACACGAGAAAAACGAATTTGACATTAGATTTTCGAAAAAACCAAAATTTCCAAAATGGCCGCCGGTTAAAGTTCAAAATGACCAAAAATTGATTTTTTTAGAAATCTAAGTTCAAATTTGTTTATCTTCTGCCAAAATACTCTCAAATTCCAAGTTTTAGGCAAATCCATCAGGAAAAAACCGAGGTGAAAATTTTCGGCCATTTTAAACTTTAACCGGCGGCCATTTTGGATTTTTTGAAAATCTAACGTCAAATTCGTTTTTCTCGTGTCAAAATACCCCTGCATACCGATTTTCGCGCAAATCCATCGACAAATAACCGGTGTGAATTTTCGGCCATTTTGAACTTTAACCGGCCGCCATTTTGAAACGGTTTGAGATATTGACTTCGGGTTTGCGCGAAACGTTTTCTTTTTTTATGCTCTTTCGACAGAGCTATCACAAAGGGGGTCTTCCCATTTGAAATTTAAAAGTTGGGGGCCGTTGCCCCCAGAAGGGCGGCCCCCCTGAAAATTTTAGGGGGGCCAAAAAGTAGCTCCCTTTGACCTAGGAACATCCCCCAAGTTTCAAATCTTTACCTCAATTAGGTAAAAAGTTAGAGGGGGTGGAAGGGACTTTTGGATCACCCTGTATAGTCGCAAACGGAGTTTTAAGGTTTTGCACCTCCGCCATTGATATGATTATTAAATCGATTAAATTTTGCAATTAGGAACTATAATTTCTGGCTCCGTTTAGAAAAACCGTGTGTACCATTAGTTTTCCCGTACACATAAGTGATTTGACAAGTGAGCCAGAAATTTTAGTTCCGAATTGCAAAATGTAGTCCATATCAATGACCTATTATTATGTTTTTTTTTTGTTGATTCATCCTTCCACCTTAGTTCAAAAAATCAAAATTTTCTCCTAAAAATGGAACTTTTCTGGGAGAGATTTAATTTATCAGTGAATTGGTACAAACTGGAAAAACAAAAGTCATTTCTGGATTCGGCAAATGAAAGTACTGCAGAACAACTCCATAGCTTGCCTAAGAACATTCCCTGCTGTCTCTGGTAAGGAAGTCTCTGTTTAAATGGCTTAATCCGCCAGGATACCACCAAGTAAATCCTATCGGGTCTGAAAGGATGTGAAACTAACATCTTAGTCCATAGTCCAGGCATTAGAGACTTAAAAACGTAAGGGACTACACCACGGGTGCCTATCCCCCTATTTTTGGGTCGTAAAATCCGAATTTGAAGTTTGCTGCCTTGTAGCTATGAGGCGCTTTCCGTAAAATTGAAAAAAATGTTGCCAAATGTCCGTTTTTTCCAGGTTTTGGCTTATAACTTTTTTTGTAATGCAAAAATCGAAAATCCGTTTGCACGACACGAAAGAGCATAAAATTTCAAAGAAATTGGTATATACATGTTCTATTTTAGCATCAAAATTGACGGAGCTCCACCACTTGCTCGGGGGCATCGAATCTCTGGCTCGCGGAAAGCACTGCGCGGCGCGCGCACAGGGAGCTATGCAGCGCGATTGTCCAACATGCCGTTTTATTTTAAAGGGGCAATCGATTTGAAACTTTTGTCGTAGGTAGGTACTTGTATAAATACGATTTTCTCAAAATTTCGTCAAGTGGGTTGCATACCCTGACCCTCATTACTCAATTGAGTTATTTTGAAGAAGCACCTTGGGGCAGCCATTTCTCGGTCTGAAAGTAAGTTAGAGACCTGCGGTGTGTTTAAAAGAATGAAAAAATGCTTCTATTATCCAACAGAGTCGGGTTTTTGGATTTTTAACTGTAAAGACCACATGCGCGGATACATCAAATTTATGACTGACTGCTCCAAGCGAGAAAATCAAAATGTCTGCGAAGCCTGTCTGTGCATTTACTTTTTCTTGCTCATCACCAGACCAATTTGCTGCCTCTCCTTGAAAATCTACCATTTCCTCCTTCATAGTAAGGGATTCCTCTTTTTTCAACATAGGTAAAGGACTTAAGTTAAACCGTGAAAAAAGTATACGGACACAGAAATAGTTACATCTCCCATGTAAATTGATCGCTGTGCTAATTACCGTTTCGTTCTACGTATTCATGCAATGGAGCTGTTGTAAATAACTTGCATGACCTGCGGTGTGTTTAAAAGAATGAAAAAATGCTTCTATTATCCAACAGAGCCGGATTTTTGACTTATGATATTCCCTTTTCTTTTAAATGAATCTTTCCTCAACACTTTTCAGTTTTTATTAAGATATTCAATGATCAAGGGGTAACATAAAAATTCCGGCTCTGTTAAGTAATAGAGGATTCAATTATGGTCATTTAAAAAAAAAAAAAAACCCAAAGTCTCTAGCTCAATTAGAGCGTGAGGAAGGGTTGCAAATAGATGGAAAACATGCTAAAAACTGGTTTTGTAGGAGAGCAACATTAGTAAAAGTGAGTGGAAATAGTGCAAGGTGCAAGTGCATCATTCTTCAAGGGATCTTCACCTTATCGTATTATTTCGAATATTTTTCATCATGGTAATTGCAAAGTGCATACATAATCTCCTTTAGCAAATTCTTTCCAATAAAATTAGTGAAAAAAAATCCAAAAATCATTTTAGGGTCATTTTTAGACCAAAGTACCCCCTTAACGCGTGCCCATGCCCATCTTGTTGCCCTCCAGCTTACCTCCTGGTTATTCGTCCTTTGTGGCTTCCCTAATTTCGCAGATGTCATCAAAAGCAGTGCTTAAGTCTTGCACGCTCCTTACTGATACAAGTGTCTAGAGTCTGGGGGATTAGTTTCACCGCCTACGTCCAGTAATCAAAGGGGCGTTGTATCGACACAAGACAACTCACCTCACATTGCTCGTATAATCTTTTTAGGAGTGAAAATTATTATTTAGCCCCTTTTGGAACCGGGAAAAAGTTACTTGCAGCTTTTTCACCATGAGTGTGAAAACAACATGTTTCATTTGTGGAAGGCCACTTTTAGATCTCTCAGTTCGAGAAGTTAAACAAAAATGTGTCCATTCTTTGCCCCCCCCAAGTCAAACGCGAAAAAACGGTGAAATTTCAGTTTTGTACAGACTAAAAACCAGCTATCAAAGTAAAATTGTTAGAAAAATAGGGCAATGACATCATTATTTCAAGGTCCCATAAAACGTCAACGTTCGTCACTAATCGTAATACAGATCTCCTAAATACTACCTAATTTTCTTTTACACTCAAAAATATACTGATTCTAAAGCCGAACGCAAACGCATCGTATAATCTGATACAGAAATCGTTCTGGAGGATATTCGTTCTAATCTTCATAACCCAGATGAATATGCTCAGACAGATAAATTTTTTGCATGTTTTAAAAATGATATTCCAGATACACTCAGAACTTTCTGAGACAACGTCATTATGAAGCATAAAAAGATGACGTGGGAAAGTGGAAAATCAAAAGCAAAGCAATACTTCATACTACTACTACTACTAGCATTGCTTCATAACTGCTGCTATAGACCGAAATCACGCCACTCCCCAGTCCAGCTTGGGACTTCTCGGTGATACATTGAATCGCTCTCTTAGGTAATTGAAAGCGGCACAGAGATCGCACAAGAAAAACGTTCCAAATGTCACTGAAATGCGATTGTCCATTGTCAAAACATAAATATTTAATCATAAAAATCTAAGATATCTTGCTTTAACTCTGTTTTTCCTTCATCCACACAGTAAATTTTATTTTCAAGTACAAGTCGCAATATTAGACACGAATGAATGAACTTACATAGAAGAAACTATCTAAATAAATGCTCATGCTGCTTCATGCAAGTTATTTACAACAGCTCCATTGCATGAATACGTAGAACGAAACGGTAATTAGCACAGCGATCAATTTACATGGGAGATGTAACTATTTCTGTGTCCGTATACTTTTTTCACGGTTTAACTTAAGTCCTTTACCTATGTTGAAAAAAGAGGAATCCCTTACTATGAAGGAGGAAATGGTAGATTTTCAAGGAGAGGCAGCAAATTGGTCTGGTGATGAGCAAGAAAAAGTAAATGCACAGACAGGCTTCGCAGACATTTTGATTTTCTCGCTTGGAGCAGTCAGTCATAAATTTGATGTATCCGCGCATGTGGTCTTTACAGTTAAAAATCCAAAAACCCGACTCTGTTGGATAATAGAAGCATTTTTTCATTCTTTTAAACACACCGCAGGTCTCTAACTTACTTTCAGACCGAGAAATGGCTGCCCCAAGGTGCTTCTTCAAAATAACTCAATTGAGTAATGAGGGTCAGGGTATGCAACCCACTTGACGAAATTTTGAGAAAATCGTATTTATACAAGTACCTACCTACGACAAAAGTTTCAAATCGATTGCCCCTTTAAAATAAAACGGCATGTTGGACAGCCGCGCTGCATAGCTCCCGGTGCGCGCGCCGCGCAGTGCTCTCCGCGAGCCAGAGATTCGATGCCCCCGAGCAAGTGGTGGAGCTCCGTCAATTTTGATGCTAAAATAGAAC